CCGAAGGTAAGTGAAAAAAAAAAAAAAAACATAGCGCAAACATCGGGGCATTTTGACAAGTACAAGTACCTGCCCTGTTTTTTCCGCCCTCACCCTGCAGCGCCGTAAGGCGGCCGCCTGACTTGCCTTGCGGTAGCGCCGGGCCTGTATCTATCTATTTATCTAAAGTATATATATACACACACACATATATACATATGCACACTATAATGCCAAAAGTATTGGGACGCCCCTCCAAATCATTGGATTCAGTTGTTCCAATCCCCTCCATGGCCCCCGGTGTATAGGATGAGGCACCTCGGCATGCAGACGCTTCTATAGACATTTGGGAAAGAACGGGTCGCTCTCAGGAGCTCAGTGACTACAAGCGTGGTGCCGTGATAGGTTGTCACCTGCGCAATAAGTCCGTTCGTGACATTTCCTGGCTACTAAATATTCAGCGGTCACCTGTTACTGGGATTATAACAAAGTGGAAGCAACTGGGAACAACAGCAACTCAGCCAGGAAGTGGTCGGCCACGTCACATGACAGAGCGGGGTCAGCGCATGCTGAAGCGCACAGTGCGCAGAAGTCGCCAACTGTCTGCAATGTCAATAGCTACAGACCTCCAAACTCCATGCGGCCTTCAGATTGGCACAACAACAGTGCGTAGAGAGCTTCATGGAACGGGTTTCCATGGCCGAGCAGCTGCATTTATCTATATTGCAGATCTAAATATGTATTTTTTATTTCACTTTATTTTTCATTTTTGTAATTCTGTTTTTACTATAGTTTGATTGTTTTTATTATTATATTACACTATTGCTGCAATCACTGTTCAATATAATCATTGTTATATTAAGAATGATCCTTTCCTATTATTGCCGGAATTGTTAATATCAAGGTTGTTACTAATATTAATGTACCTATTTTTGTTAGAACTTAAAATACTTTTACATTTTTTTTTTTGTTGCCTTTTAGCCCTGATAAAGGAGAGGGAGCTCCAATCTCAAAATGCATTAAGACTGGCACAGTGGTGTTTCAGTTCTACACTCACTCATCCCTATCACAAGTTGGAAATCAATTGCAGAGGCTACAAGCTCAATATTCAGATTCTCTACATCTACATCACCACTATACAATTGGGTGATAATAAAATAAATACAAAAAAAAAAAAAAAATCAGGATTTCAGTGCCATACATAAACTTTCTGAAGCTCATACAAGTAATGGACTTAATGTCAAATTTAGTTTTCTGAATGACAGTCAGATCATTTTATAACCATTCTCACCTCTGTGACTGTACCCCCCTCTACTTATCAGCTAGATCACTTTTATTACACTGATTGTTCACTCCTCTCTGACTTTCCCAGATAATTTTCTCAGTTGCGGAACTATTTGTAACAACATACAGAAGAATGGGGGTTTTTTGAGAGGTATAACACCAACACTTGATTTAATTGGTATAAAAGATATTTATTCTACATATATTCAGTATAAAAACATGTATACATTCCATTTGGGTACAATCTAAGTCAATAACATCTTATGCAAGATTAAAAACAAATTGCATCCTAGCTCCAATTTATCTTGTTGGTCATACGTATTCAGTTGGGAAATCCATGTATCCAGTCCCTACGCATTTCGCATACTGCTTCCTCAGGGGAACATGGATCTATCTAATAAGAAATTTTTTAAAAATTGGTTGGTCTAGGTAATACAATACATAAACCCCAAAGGGGGAGAGGTTACACCTGGAGACCACGGAGGCAACAATTCACTATTGTATTTCTTCAGTTGCGGAACTAGTCGTTAGCTCACCACATATGTTACAAACTAACTGTACAATCTTCTCAACATCCACCAACAATAATGCAGAGCAAGGACCAACCTAAAGCTGATTGTACAAAGATTGCAAAGTTACCTGTATGGTGAGATTTAGCATTTTGCCAAACAGATAATAAAGATGTAAAGATGAAGGTTGTCCCTTTTGTTGCCTCAGTGAATATATTTGAGGGTTTAAGATTTCCAAAATAGTCAGTTTTCTTCTTCAGACATTAAAGGGTTATTAAACCCTCATTCGATTTTGCATATATACCCTGTTACCCCGAAAATAAGACCTACACCGAAAATAAGACCTGGTACTATTTTTGGGAATTGCTAAAATATAAGACCTACCCCGAAAATAAGACCTAGTTGTGACCTTTCCCAGGGCCGATGGTGGCATAAGGGGGGAACTTGAAGAGCCGTGAGAGAGGCGGGAGAGAATCAGAGGTGCCAACTAAGCCAGCGCTAGAGGAAGCGAGGCGGCACCGGAGGGAGCAGAGCCGCATAAGCCGACGCCTCCTCTATAGCGCCGGACGACTATAAAGAAGGAGAGATCAGGAGACAAAAGATACATATGAGTTTGTATCTGTGTATCAAAAATGCTTGGATCAAAAGAAGGGAATGGATCTCCCGAAAGCTTCTCCGACTTATAAAATATTAAAAAGATATTATTGTACAGAACTCAACTGTCTTGTTAGTTCACTAAATACGGCTACAATCACATTTCATTATCAAATCAGTTTTCATT